CACTCATGGAAAAAAGGATCCAAATAAATCTCTAGTTGGCTGTTAGCATCTTCCATATTGATGATGCAAGGCAGAAGATGGACCTTGCTGTGAGTCTGACTTTATTCCAGGGGCAGTTTTTTCCCCATCCCTTCTATCAATGAACTCTTTCTCTTTTCCACCAGTATTTTTTCTTCCTTATTTACAGTTTTCAATACATACTAATATTAAAAAAATCACAAGTTAGTGATTTAAAAGATTGACTGGGGCATTGGCAAAGTTATAAAATCGAAGTATTTTATCTTTGCAAAGCCTTTGTATTCCCCATAGAATTGGGGCAACCTTGAGTATGTCTGGTCCAGCAATGCATCTGTGAGTATGCATGTTCACGAGACTGGTCCATAAGAAAATCTCTCCAGACTGCTATGTTGCCTGCTGTATTGCACACGTTTGACAGTGGAAAAATAAATGTCTGGGTCATAAGTTTTGAATTCCTTTAGAAAGATATTTCCAATTACCACTGTAAAACAAATGCCATTTTATACAGAATCTATGCTTTGACACTTTGCTGCTCCAAGCAAAAATGCAGTGATGTATTTGTTTGTGATTCTTTGCAAGGTTGGGATTAAGGTAGACACATGATTATTAAGGCATGTTTTCCAACAGTCTTGAAAAGCCAACACAATTTTGTCTCCTCGTCTTAGTGAGCTGAGATCTTAAATAAGGGATTAAAAATCACTGGATCTATGTAATCTTATCTATTTAAAAAGATTATTAGTATTTTGAAATTCTTTATTGTGGGAAATCCATTTCGAAAATATGACCATTGTCTGTTAAAAGAAAATAAGAAGAATAAAATAAATGACTAAATGCACCAACTTTGTAGGATGACAATTCCTTCTGTAATGAAGTAGATCTATCAAAGGAGAAGGGCTTTTTACGGCATCAGAAATAAACTTCATTAGGTATTCCATTGACTTTCTAACTTAGCTGAAAAGATTTTGCCGCTTTGAATGCCGAAAATAGATTACATTCTTGGCCCTTGCTTAAAAAGGTTGCGGAGAATAAATGCACACCCTAGTAGCGTTCTAGTGATCTCTCTAATCTCAGTTGCACTTTGTCAGAACGAGGTAACTGGTAGTTAAATGAAATCCCTTAGATCAAAGAAGGGATTAATCACCAACTGAATCCACGCTGAATAAACCTGTCATTCAAGAAAATTATTTCCACTGAACCTAGCAAAGGGATTGATGGTATTTGCATAACAGGGACCAATGCACTTCAGCCAGGTTAAAAGGTTTCCGAATTGATCCCGTGTTTAGCTTTTGGGTTCCTTTTCTTTTCAGCAGCTATGTACAATGGTTCCTAATCTCATAATACAGCTAACTATCTAAATGATGTCAGTACAGGCAAGTATTGCAAAACTTTGGATGAGCGATGGATCAATTTCACTTTCAGCAACTCCTAAATCTGATTTGTCGGAATTTAAAATGTAATCTTCGGAAAAAGTCCCTTAAACCCAAGGATTGTTTATTAACACCCTACCATTGACCTTTTTGTCTTAAAGCAGTTATTATGTAACTATTGCAGTCGGCATTTTGTTTCCCCTAATTGAGGGTCAGGTTCAGCCTCTGCTGTTAACACTTTGAGTTATGCAATACCTTAGAGGCCCTTCAATTTTCAAAGTGTGAAAAAGGCTCATGTTGTAAATTCGTATTTTCACTACGATTTACCAGAATAATCCACTTTAAGCCAATCACAATAAAGCAGGACATTCTGCATTCTGAATGTCGTTCCCCATTAAAAGCAATTTGCATTTCGGACAGAATAAAACTGACTGACCATTTTGGTAATTTCTGATTCTATCTAAAACTTAATGTATGCACACACACAAAAAAAAAGTTCAACATGCTGATTTCCTAGCTTGAACAAAACAAAAACCCACAAAAGATAACAAAATATATATATTGAAAAATTATAATTTGTTATTAACAAAACATACAAAAACAAAATTATGCGATTAAAAACATTTGTATAAATAATTGAACATTTAAAAATAATTTTCTATATTGATATGCTACTACTAACAAAACAAAATATATTTCATACTTCTGAAATATTAACATATAGTGTGTGTGTATATATATATATATATATATATAGTTTGTTATTGTTCACAGCCTCATAGAATCATGATATGCTATTTATCATGATTTCCATGTATATATCTCTAGACATTTGCATGTATATGGCATAATAGGTGTACAACCATAAGATATGTGTTTAGGCGTTTTATAATGGTTTTCAGGCTTACGTGCATACTATGCATGCCATTTTAAAAAATAATTAGTGTAGAACAATATTTTATCTAATTCCATTTTTTATTTAAAAAGAAATATAAAATTATTCACTGTGTATTTTTTTATTATTTTATATTTTTATTATCTATTAGTAATTCATAATGAAATTTATTTTTAATGAAGGTGTTCTGCAGGATATTCACTTTTTACACTAAAAGCATGAATTATGGGCTATAAAGGTGAATAAATAAAGGTTTGACAATGGAGTATAAGTGGTATTGATAGGGTACACTATTTTTGTATAAACTTTTAAGAGGAATTCACTCTATTTTATTATTTGTATATAACAGATGTATGATTTAAATAGACACTGAAAATTAAATATTGTTGGTTTAAAATGATTTTTATATTTATCTCTTTCTCTGGGTATGATCGATTATATGGACGATATACTATATACATTTAGAGCACTTCCAGGTACCAGAGTGCAAGATGGAACGCACACTGTTACATATACCACAGAGGAAGAAAAAAAAAAACAGGAAGAAGGAAATTGAAACAGTGAGCAACAGCTGGAGGAGTTTTACAAGTAATCGACAAGGTATAAAAGGAAGCATGGAGAACAATGGAGTCTTATCAATTGGACTGAGGAAGACACAAAATGGCGAAACGCGTTTCTGGACTACTACTAATAGACTAACATACCATTAGGTATTTGACAGCATTTTTACAATATTTTTGCTTTTATATATTAATGTTAAATAAAGTACTTTTTAAAAAACCATCTGGGCTCCAGAACTTCTAAAGAAAGGTGTGTGGTCCTTAAAGGACCACTCTAGGCACCCAGACCACTTCAGCTTAATGAAGTGGTCTGGGTGCCAGGTCCTTCTAGGGTTAACCCATTTTTTTATAAACATAGCAGTTTCAGAGAAACTGCTTTGTTTATTAATGGGTTAAGCCTTTCCCCTAATCCTCTAGTGGCTGTCTCATTGACAGCCACTAGAGGCGCTTGCGTGCTTCTCACTGTGATTTTCACAGTGAGAGCACGCAAGCGTCCATAGGAAAGTATTGTAAATGCTTTCCTATGCGACGGGCTGAATGCGCGCGCAGCTCTTGCCGCGCGTGCGCATTCAGCCCAGGAGGAGGAACGAAGGAGGAGAGAAGGAGGAGAGCTCTCCACCCATCGCTGGAAAAAGGTAAGTTTTTACCCCTTTCCCCCTTCCAGAGCCGGGCAGGAGGGGGTCCCTGAGGGTGGGGGCACCCTCAGGGCACTATAGTGCCAGGAAAACGAGTATGTTTTCCTGGCACTATAGTGGTCATTTAACCACACTAAGCAGCTATACTGAGCCAGCATGCAGGCTCTATGTTTGTGAGTATGATAATCAACCATAACCCACTACACTAAAGTATAAGTGGATCTACACTATATTCTGTATTTTTTACTCTGAGATAATCAGAGGAAAATAAAAGTTACCACCACAACTACTACACCAACGAGGGGAGTGGTCACCCAAAATGGACCAACAAGCAATACATACCAGAGCTAGGTCATATAGCTCTGGAAATTGTGAGTGTTAAAGTGGCAATTCAAGATTTTACACATTTGCACTTTGTCTTTGTTTAAAGGGATATATGCTTGATTGAACATTGAGCCAAGTGTTATATATATATATAGGCATGGAAGGTTTCTGACACTAAATGTATAGCGCTCCACTATTTTTTTTTTTTTATAAATTTGTTACGTTACTGTGTGGTTGTGGGAGAATTATACATTTAGTGTTGTAGCTGCTATTTTCATAAAGAAAATCTAATTAGCATATTTGCATAGAAAGTTATTTGCAATCTCTTGACAAGATAACACATCTTTTGCTATTTGTTACATGCATACTATTTAGAATTACAAAATTTGCTATCCCTGCAACAAATTGCAGAAACAATGTGCAGCTACAATGTGGTGGCTTACAACTCCTACCACATATGCAGTTATTGCCATTTATAAGTACAACGCCCTCCTTAGGTTCCTCTAGAAGTTGGGTTCAATCATAGGTGACAGTCAATAAGAACAGTAAAGTAGTGAAGATGAGTTGAAAGGCTTGCCAACATAATTATACCAAGCATGGACTAACGGAATGCGATTCCAAGGTCCACAGTGGTTAAAGGGACACTCTAGACCCCTAAAGCACTTTAGCTTGCTGAATAGATGTGGGAAGAGTTTGTCCCTTTTTAAAAAAAAAATTTTAATTTGCAAGAAGTGCAAATTTAAGTAGAAATTGTCACATTTACAAATTAATCTAGTTACATCCCTCAGACTGTCAATCAGACAACTGGTCCTGTTACTTCCTGGTTTGCTTAGCTCAGTGCAGACAAACTCAAGAGGCAGCAAGTGCCCAGAGCACCTGCCTTGCAAAGACTTCTTATTGAGCTGCATTGGGAAGTCTGTGATTGGATAGCCACAGAAAGTCTGGGCGGGGTTAGAAGGAGAGGGATTCAAAGGCTGCAGACAAGAGATCTGCAGTATTTGCAAGCTATCTTTAGATATACCCCCAATGAAAAAATGCATAATTAAATGTATACAAGTTTTAAATTGGGGTATATCTACTACACAGCGATTCATGTACTCTTTAATAAATGTCACCCTCCTACCCAGTGTAACATATCTGTGTGGAAATACGTATATTATCTCAAGCCAGCAAACTCACCAACTCAGCCAAATGATGGCCACCTACCTACAAGGTACATTAAGACTGCCACCAACATCTCTCCCCAGGGCACTTGGTTCTATTAGGGGTGGGCCCATCCATGTCACAACCTGAGGTCTGTTTCTTCCCCATTGATTGTGGTCTCTAATGTTGACAGGTGGCATGGGTGGCCTATGTATTCTCAGGCAAGAAAATGTAGATCTATGAAAGAAGACCAACCGAAAAAATACAGTACCATATATTCAAAAATCACTTTGTAGAGAGCACAACATACTTAGTGTACCATAACAACAAAAATTCTAATCAAATGGGATATTAGAAAAAAAAAAAACACAGACTTTTGTTAAGTATATAAATCCAAACCAGTCCCAAAACCCAGAGTAGGACTTCTAAAAAATGCTTTCTTCAATAACAACACAGTTGGTAAATAATAGAGAGAACGGCAACACTAATCTATGTAAACACTGTATTTATTAGTAGAAAAAATAAATAAATACAAGCATTTACATTTAACCCCTTCAGGATGGAGTCAATAGTGCACGTTCTGATCAAAACAAAACGTAAACAAAAACTGGAATTTGCGCTATATGTCTGTCCAACCGTAATTCATCGCCGTCACATTAAGTGCACCCACACTTATTATATATAATTTTGTTCAGGAGAAACAGGGCTTTAATTTATCATTAACTATTCACATATGGAACATAATTTATTATGAATAAAATTTAAAAGAATGTGAGAAAATATGATTTTTTTTTAAATTTGTATTTCCGTCTGCCATTTTAGCTGTGAATGTCATAATACTGTTAGGTTTCACTGCAAAAAAAATGCATATATTTGTAATCAGCGATGTCTCACGAGTACAACAGTACCCCCCATTAACAGGTTTTATGGTGTTTTGGAAAGTTACAGGGTCAAATATAGAATGTTCCATTTTCAAATTGAAATTTGCCAGATTAGTAATGTTACCTTTGAGACGGTGTGGTAGCCCAGGAATGAGAATTACCCCCATAATGGCATACCATTTGAAAAAGTAGACAACCCAAGGTATTGAACGTGGGGTATGTTTAGTCTTTTTTAGTAGCCACTTAGTCACAAAAACTGGCATAAGTTAGCGTTCATATTTGTTTTTGTGTGAAAAAAGCAAAAAACTAATATTTGGCCAGTGTTTGTGACTAAGTGGCTACTAAGAAAGACTGGACATACCCCACTTGCAATACCCTGGGTTGTCTACTTTTGCAAATTATGTTAAAAGATTACTTAAATATACATGTAGAATTTTAATATATATGCATTTATATGTATTTAAATTCTACGTGTATACTAATGTAATCTTTTATGTAATTATATGTATTTATCTATATATATTTGTGGTTATTTGTATTTTATATACATATATAGATATATATAGAATGTCATTCTAAGTGCATTTTGTTACCAATATATATTAATAACAAAATACAGTTGGATTGAAATTACATATGAATATATAATTTATATTAAATTTTGTGTCGATATTTTATTTATTCATTTTATTATTTTATTTATTATTGTAATTATATGTATATATATATATATATATATATAATACACATCTTATATATATAATATATATACACATATATATATGTAACGTCATTCTAAGTGTATTTTAATACTAATATATGTACTTATATTAATATTAAAATACACTTTGTATGACGTTACATATATAATATGTATATATATTATATATATATAAAAATACATTTATTTTATTTTAAACATGTTTAATTTTTTTTTTTTTTTACTTTCCCACCAGCAGGGGGACTGTGACATTTCAGACAGTCCCCCTGCTGGCAGATCCACAGTCAGCTATAGGGGACCATGTGATCGCCCCGGGGGCCTGATTTGGCATGGGAGGGCTGCCGCAACGGCTTTAAAGCCCTTTTAATGCGGGACGGCATAGAACGCCGTAACGGCGTTAAATAAAAACTAGAATAAGGAGTCCTGGTCGTGAGGTCTGGTCGCTTTAGGTGTTTCTGCTATTCTGGGGTCAAAAATAAATTTCTTTCCTGGTTTGTTACAAAATTGGAAGTGCATCAGACTGTTTTTTTGCCTTCTTTTGGATCAACAACAAAAGACAAATGTGAGGAAGGCTGAACTTGGGACACATGTCTCTTTTCAGCTTATTTAAATATATGACAACCTGTTCCTGTCATAAGCCATAATATACAGTGATATCACTATGGCCTGGTGTCACCAAGTGCAGTGACTCATGGAGTCATCCCCAACTCATGGACCTCCTCCCATAGCAAACCATATAAGATCACTGATGGTCCACTGGTGACGTCTTCTGGTTACCAGACCATATAAAATCACTGATGGTCCACTGGTGACCTCATCTGGTCTGCACCTTTGCCAGATGCAGTATTATTTTTCATGTGACAGTGTCAAGTGTTTCCGCCGATCCCTCACCGTTTCATTAAGGGGCACAGAACCCTCTCCATGGGCCATCCAGACGCCTTTTGCCACCTGCTAGTATCATCCTCTCTGACAGTGTCACCTCTTGCGGTCTGCACCCTCCTAGTGACGCCAGTGATTAGTGTTGTCCCGAACGGTTCGCCGAACATATGCGGTAAACTTTGACCTTGTACCTCACAGTCAGCAGACACATCCTCCCAGAACCTCCCACCTCCTGGACAGCTCACTAAGAATGCAGCTTCACAATGAATGTAAAATGGATGCTGTCCAGGAGGTGGGAGGGTCTGGGAGGGAGGGTCTGCTGCTGATTGGCTGGAATGTGTCTGCTGACTGTGAGGTACAGGGTCAAAGTTTACCGCATATGTTCACCGTCCGCGGCGAACCGTTCGGGACATCACTACCAGTGATAATATATGTGGTTATATAGCATGTCCCCATCACTAATGGTGAAAAGACCCTATGTTCGAAGTCACGTGGAACTGCAGATTACTCCAAACTTGTACTACGTGAGAAAAGATATACAACTTCCTGGGTATTTTCTGTGTACAAGATATCTCCTATACAATGACACCATGTAACAATTTATATTCATATCATCAATAGTATGGGAAATAATGATTAATTATTTAACTATAAAATAGTCTATATTATTTTTCTAAAGTAATATTGTTTTTAGAGCAAACATGGTGTAAAAATTAATTATTTGATGTCTTGTATTATTTTCACAAGCATTGTATCTACTATCGCAAGTGTCATAAATGTTGTTATTTTGCTATGCTATATATATCACATACACGTAATACAAACAAATATCTTTAACATAAACCGTATAAAGTATTGGGGAACACTGGATTATTTTTTAGCTATCCCTCATGCCAATTACTTGTCTCATTTTTTGATCCTAAAATTGATCAATAAAAAACCTTTGCATAAGTAAACACATGGAAAAACATTATAAAATGATGATTAATTTGGGTAACTGATTTTATCCTTTTAAAAAATATATATTTTTTACCTCAATCTTCACGAGTTTGGATTCACAATTTTAGTCTACTAGCTTGACATGGTTCCGCAAAACTATTCCAAAGACATAACAGATTATACATGATACGTATAGGAATCCAAAGGAAATAGCTCACTTTTGCTTACACACCTGTTTTAACAGAGTTATTTTAAGTACTTTTCCTATTATTACGCACATTAAGCACTGTCCTCCAGATATACAGCATACAGGTTTCATTGGACTTTCAATATTCTCTATACAAATGAATGCCTTATACCATTCAGTCCTTCAAAGGAACTCTTAGACTCACTGAGTACTCAAAGCATCTTTTAAGTTAAATGTATGCAAAGAATCGTTATCAAGGAAAATTAATAAAATCCATATTGAGATAATGTTTTCGAAAATGATTGAAGTTTTAACCCAAGAAAGGGCTCTCGTATTTTCACGTAGCTTAGCATAAGAACTTGTCAATCACGATTAAGCGTCTGGAATTGGAATCCCTTTGAAATGCAGCTGTTTCTTCTTTAATTGTGGCAGTGGACTCCAATGAAAAGAAAGGTCTAGCCTTAAAGATGAGCAAGGAATACAAACTAGCTCAGGATTAGCTGTAGGGTGCAAAGGTCACTAATTACACTAAGGAGTTCCCAGACATAGGGAGAACATTAAACAGGTCATCTACTGAACTGGAGAAGCAGACTTTGTCTTAAAAAATGTATCTTGAAGTGACAGATTTCTAGACAAAATCAAAAGCTTTTCAGCAGGATAACAACAACAATGGGTGAAAAAACTGTTGTTTTTAGCACCGCAGACATGGAAGAGGATAGAAACCTGAAGATGGCACCAAACTGTTGTGGAAACCATGTGAAGCAAAATAAGATGCACCACACAGTACAAGTGACTGAGGAATTTGTTTTATGGCACATAAGATGTTCATCATATTTTGATTAGAAAATGTGTGGAATCCATTGGACTTAACAGTAGTGTAGCCAACTAGCTGTGTTTTAAATTAATTCTGTTGCTGAGAAAAATCCGTCCGAGCTTTGAGTCACAGTTGGTAAATTTGTCAGGAGAGATCCAATTCTGAAAAAACTACCGTCAAAAGTCCTGTGGACTCATAATGTCAATAAAACTTGGAAAGACACCAAAGACACAAGCCTTATACTGATTTATGACACCTGCTGAACATCTGAAAAACACAGTTATAAAATGAAAACCTGAAAAAAAGTGTCTGCACTAGCTACCAAATAACTTTGAGTTTACTAAAAATGTTAGAAGTTTGGCTATGTATATATAAACTGCTCAACTCATGAATCGGAGGAACTGATAAATTAAATAAAAAATTATATAATTTTTTGGGGGAGCCTCCTGCCATGGATGTCGTAACCCCAACTTACAGGAGCGTCAAATCCAACAAACAGACACATAACCGGGCCTTAAGATTGGCAGGACTTGACGTTATACAGATAAAGACAGAGTCAGGAATAGCCAAGGCCAGGGATATAGAAGTACAGATAAACAGAATAACAAGCCGGGTCAGGTTACCAGAAATACACAAAGTCAGAAACAAGCCGGGGCAGGATACAAGAAATACACAAGTCAAATACAAGCCGAGGTCAATATCAGGATATAAAAAGGGAGACTTACTATTAATACTAACGCGCATCAGGACAGAAACCATGATAGAGCAACGAGTAAGGGCCAGAACAGGCATTAAATAGGTACAGATGAGTTTCCGTTGGTCCACGTCATCTCTGCGACCCCAAACAGCATTGGGTCGCCTAGATGACGGGTCCCTTTAAGGGAGTGACATCATGGCAATAACGTTTATTTAGGGCTGCAGTTCGGCCCACAAACCAGAAGAGGGAGCTGTTCGTTGGACCGAAGGTGAGTACAATCCTATACAGTCCATGCAGCCACGTAGAGTGTTCGGGCCTGGGAGATCTTACTAAAAAAGTTCATTTCCTATAGGTATTTTTGGATCTGCTAGAGGCTAGAGAGTGTTCATTGTTCATTGATAGTAAATGCAATGAGGCCATAACAAAATACAAGTTATTCAACAGGCTGAGGATTTGACCAGATGTTTAATTCTGTGATGATATTTATCAGGAGGAAAAAAAAAGTACAAAAGGCACTCATTTTTAACGAAATTTGTGTGAAAGAAAAGATTAAGCAAATTTCAAAATACAAAATGTTTAAGGGGCACTATAAGCTCCAAAATCACCACTTCTCAATGTAGTCCCCAACTCAGCTTGTGTCAAACCATAGTGTAGATGGAAAAATATCATTTCTGTTGAAATGTTAAAATGGAATAATGGAATGACTGCATTAGCAAGTGATTCCACTGCCTACATTTTTGGATTTCCTCCAATGATACATCATTTCCATTTAAAGTAATTTCAGGAATTATGTAATAATAAAAAAAATAAAAAAAATAAAAAAGAATTATTTAAAAATAAAATAAAATAAATGTTAACATCCTACAACTGGCAGATCAGAATCAAAAGTGCTGAATAGTATATAGATCCTTAATATAGAGAAAGCATTTAAACAGTACAATAATATATAGACGTGCAATAAAAGCAGAAATAACACATAGTAATCAATAATACAAATGTGGACTTTACTCCAAGTGGTTTATTTTAAACAATTCAGAAAATGAAAGTGCAGACTATGTAATAAATGATCTGGATACAAATGGTGCTGGTGCTTTGGAATTCCAAATATAGTAATCAGAGGAAATAAGTTCCCGAGCTGCAAAAGAAGGGGAAAAAAACCCAATTAAAACAATGTGTTCAATCCTCATTTAGCAGAAATTAGCTGCAGAAACCCTGAGTAGAAAGAAATATAATATATATAATACACAGAGTGATGATTTATGATGTTCCTGATAAAAGGGCTGTTCTACGCACTATATTCACTAGCATTCTACGCACTATATTCACTAGCATTCTACGCACTATACTCACCAGCATTCTACGCACTATATTCACAAGCATTCTACGCACTATACTCACCAGCATTCTACGCACTATACTCACCAGCATTCTACGCACTATATTCACTAGCATTTTACACACTATATTCACAAGCATTCAACGCACTATATTCACAAGCATTCTATGCACTATCCTCACTAGCATTCTACACACTATATTCACTAGCATTTTACACACTATATTCACTAGCATTCTATGCACTATCCTCACTAGCATTCTACACACTATATTCACTAGCATTCTACGCACTATATTCACTAGCATTTTACACACTATATTCACTAGCATTCTACGCACTATATTCACTAGCATTCTACGCACTATATTCACTAGCATTCTACGCACTATATTCACTAGCATCCTACGCCCTAAAGTCACTAGCATTCTACGCACTATATTCACTATCATTCAAAATATAAAGTAAAGTATCCAGGATTTCTTTGGCATTATTATTAAAATGCTCACTGCAGTACATGTGTCTGAATGAATTGGAGACAGACGTGCATGCCAAACATGGAGACAAGAGCTTTGAGGAACATTCAGTAACTGGAAACACTGCACAAGTGCAAAGCATTGGCTGTATTCAGCCACTTCCTACCAGAAGCAGTTATCACTTAAGGAGGATCAGAATCCCTGGATTTGCTTTATTCAATATATTTTTATTTTTTTTAAACATGATCTATATTGTATTTACAAAACTACTGGTAAAAAAATCAGATAAGGGAGAGGTAATCCACTGGTATCTTAACTGTTAGTTACAGGTGGAGAATCAGAGGTCAAGGGAGAGGCATATCTTTGCACCATTATGGTAGGTACTAATCATTGCATACCGAGAACACCCCACAAGACTTGCCGCTTGGAGATACTCTGGCCCAGTCTTCTAGCCATCAATATTTGGCACCTTGTTAAAGTAACTCAGATGTTTTCACTTGCCCATTTTTTCTGCTTCCAACACATGAAATTCAAGAACTGACTGTTCACTTTCTGCCTAATATCTCACCCCTTGACAAGTACCATTGTAACATAGAAACATAGAAACATAGAATGTGACGGCAGATAAGAACCATTCGGCCCATCTAGTCTGCCCAATTTTCTAAAAACTTTCATTAGTCCCTAGCCTTATCTTATAGTTAGGATAGCCTTATGCCTATCCCATGCATGCTTAAGCTCCTTTACTGTGTTAACCTCTACCACTTCAGCTGGAAGGCTATTCCATGCATCCACTACCCTCTCAGTAAAGTAATACTTCCTGATATTATTTTTTAAACCTTTGTCCCTCTAATTTAAGACTATGTCCTCTTGTTGTGGTAGTTTTTCTTCTTTTAAATATAGTCTCCTCCTTTACTGTGTTGATTCCTTTATATATTTAAATGTTTCTATCATATCCCCCCTGTCTCGTCTTTCCTCCAAGCTATACATGTTAAGATCCTTTAACCTTTCCTGGTAAGTTTTATCCCATAATCCATGAACCTGTTTAGTAGCCCTTCTCTGAACCCTCTCTAAGGTATCAATATCCTTCTGAAGATACGGTCTCCAGTACTGTATACAATACTCCAAGTGAGGTCTCACCAGTGTTCTGTACAATGGCATGAGCACTTCCCTCTTTCTACTGCTAATACCTCTCCCTATACAACCAAGCATTCTGCTAGCATTTTCTGCTGCTCTATTACAGTGTCTGCCTACCTTTTGTCATCAGAAATAACCACCCCTAAATCCCTTTCCTCAGATGTTGAAGTTAGGACTCTATATCAAATATTCTGTACTCTGCCCTTGGGTTTTTACGTCCAAGATGCATTATCTTGCACTTATCCACATTAAATGTCAGTTGCCACAATTCTGACCATTTTTCTAGTTTAACTAAATCATTTGTCATTTGGCTTATCCCTCCTGGAACATCAACCCTGTTACATATCTTAGTATCATCAGCAAAAAGACATACCTTACCATCAAGACCTTCTGCCATATCACTAATAAAAATATTAAAGAGAATGGGTCCAAGTACAGATCCCTGAGGTACCCCACTGGTGACAAGTCCAAGCTTCGAATATATTCCATTAACCACAACCCTCTGTTGCCTGTCACTCAGCCACTGCCTTATCCATTCAACAATATTGGAATCCAAACTTAAAGATTGCAGTTTATTGATAAGCCTTCTATGTGCAACAGTGTCAAAAGCCTTACTGAAATCTAGGTAAGCAATGTCTACTGCACCACCCTGATCTATAATTTTAGTTACCCAATCAAAAAAATCAATAAGATTAGTTTGGCATGGTCTCCCTGAAGTAAACCCATGTTGTCTCTGATCTTGAAATCCATGTGTTTTAGATGTTCATCAATCCTATCCTTTAACATGGTTTCCATCACTTTCCCTACTACTGAAGTAAGGCTTACTGGCCTATAGTTGCCCGACTCCTCCCTATTACCTTTCTTGTAAATGGGCACAACATTCGCTAACTTCCAATCTTCTGGGACTACTCCTGTTAACAATGATTGGTTAAATAAATCTGTTAATGGTTTTGCTAGTACACCACTAAGCTCTTTTAATAGCTTTGGGTGTATTCCATCAGGTCCCATTGACTTATTTGTCTTTACTTTTGACAGTTGAAATAGAACCTCTTCCTCTGTAAACTCACGTGTAATAAATGACTCATTTATCCTTTTTCTCAACTGAGGTCCCTTTCCTTCATTTTCTTCTGTAAATACAGAACAAAATATTCATTGAGGCAGTCAGCCTGACCTTTATCCTCTTCTACATACCTTCCTTCTTTTGTTTTTAATCTAACTAATCCTTGTTTTACTTTTCTTTTCTCATTTATGTATCTAAAAAATGTTTTATCCCCCTTTTTTACTGACTGTGCTATTTTCTCTTCTGTGTGTGATTTGGAAGCTCTTATAACTTGCTTAGCCTCTTTCTGCCTAATCTTATAGATCATTTTGTCTCCCTCACTCTGGGTTTTTTTATAATTCCTAAATGCTAACTTTTTGTTTTTAACTATTTTGGCCACATCTGCGGAGTACCACAGTGGTTTCTTGTATTTTTTGCTTTTACTGACAAGCCTAATGCAATTTTCTGTTGCCTTCAATAGTGCAACTTTTAAATAATCCCATTTTTCTTGGACTCCATTTAAATTGCTCCAGTCTGATAATGACTCCTCTACCCATATTCTAATTTTAGAAAAGTCTGTTTTTCTAAAGTCTAAAACTTTTGTTTTTGTGTGGTGTGACTCAGTCACTGTTCTTATAATAAACCACACTGACTGATGATCACTGGATCCTAAACTTTCACCTACAGTAACATCTGATACCAAATCTCCATTTGTTAACACTAAATCTAGTATGGCCTCTTTACGAGTTGGCTCCTCAACAACTTGTTTTAGAGACAATCCCAGTAGGGAGTTTAGAATATGTGTGCTCCTGGCACAAGTAGCTAATTTTGTTTTCCAATTTACATCAGGAAGATTAAAGTCACCCATGATGATAACTTCCCCCTTCATTGTCATTTTAGCTATTTCCTCAACTAGTAGATTATCTAACTCTTCAATTTGTCCTGGGGGCCTATAAATCACACCTACACGAGTTACTGTGTGATTACCAAATTCTAACGTAGCCCAAACGGACTCTATGTTTGCCTCACTAACTTTTATTAGGCTAGATTTTATGCTATCCTTCACATACAAGGCCACCCCTCCCCCTTTCTTGCCTTCCCTATCTTTCCTATATAAAGAGTACCCTGGTATTGCTATGTCCCAGTCATTTTTCTCATTGTACCATGTCTCAGTAACAGCGACTAAATCTACACTATCAGTTGCCATTATTGCCACAAGTTCATGGATCTTATTCCCTAAACTGCGAGCATTTGTAGACATGACTCTAAGCTTATCATTTTTTAACACACTTGCTATACTTGTAACGATATAACCAATGTATATCTTCACCTGTCATTGGTTTTATTGTTGTGGCTGATCAGTGTAAAATGTATTAATACACGGCACATAACTTTCAATTGTTATTAAAGGGATACTTACCTTTATGTGAAGTTAAACAACTGTGACAGCACTTTTTATAGACTATTTTTTTACATTTCAACTGACTTTTAAGTTTTTTTCTAAAACCGTTTGCAACTGAACAGTAGTAAAAAAGTATAATGCATAATTTTTCGCCTCCTGTCATTAATACAATTTCTATTTTCCTTTATTCAAAGACCAATAAAATACAGAATTATCCACACACAGTGGAATTATTTATAACATTAAACATATGATCCACTTGGTTTTTACTCACACATTGGGTGTTTTTTTGTTTTCTTTAGGAGAAATAATGCCAAGAACATCATGGGAGGGCATTGTTGTGCAATACGTTGATTTACAAACTGAATGATTACAAGACAATTGTTATACACTACAACTGAAAGTCTTAGGTTCCTTTCGGTTTTGGCACAGCTATGGAGGCATGGTAACTTTTTGTTTTTGAATAGGTAGGAAGACACTTAAGTCACAATTCAGTTTATTGTTCTATTTTTTCTAAATATGGCTCAATGTGCAGCATATAAACATTTTTAGCCATGTCACAATCACACTAATAAAGCTTACTAGCAGAATAGATGGCACAAAGGACATTTCCAATGACAAAGCCACTTACAGCAGGCTCCACCTAAAGGTAGCCAAACTGGTATTGACAGCTGTTTGTCTATTACATAGCCGAAACACACAGGGTTACCCAAATACACCATGATTTAACAGGAACTGACTATAGAATGTAACACTTTACGTATAACAGACAATTCAGCTATTGAGGATTTATATCAGTTTCCGACACTACACAATTCAATAAATATCGCTGATGCTGAAAACAGGTACATTTCCCCACTTAACATATACTAACTGAAAATGACTTACATGAATAAATTTTGGGCTTCACATTTGAGAAGTACTGGATACAATGCTGGTCTGTAAAACATCCCGTCAGTGTGTATTCAGGGATTCGGAAAGAAAGCTGAAAAGACATTTCACTATTTAAATATTTCGTAAGAAATGACAGAGTGCAGTGGTAGCTGGAATTGAACAAATCAATATTTATTTTCTAGTTAGGGGTATGCAACGTACTTTAACGTAGGCTGTATTCCCAACACAGATAGGATCCACAGGGTCATTCGGATGTTTTTCAGCACTGAAAGTTACTGTCCCAGAAAGGGAGATTTCCAGTGATTTAGGAAACTTTTGTCCTGGAAAGAAAAGTATAATTTAAACTTTTCCGATGCTCAAATCTTTCTTTACGTATTTTTGGCAAAAAAATAAACAAATTTGAATAGACATGGTGTACGTAAACGTGATGAACAGAATGTTGAAGTAACCAATCAGCGAGAGAGAGATGTGCGCATGTATCTCTCCAGAACATTCTGCAACTGCTATATACTCCTATATAGACTATTCTGCTTTCTAACCCAATATTATACGTTTATGTGCAACATGTCTAAATTTGTTTACATTTGTTTTCTTTGCTGCAATAGGAGTAAGTAAATAAAGACTGATCATTATATGAGCCTCCTTAGAAAATAACAGAATTCTAATAATATTAGCTTCATACTCGCTTAATGGTAAATATACTTACCAATAATCCAAACCAAATGACTCTTCTCTCTTGACAATTCGAGCTGACCATGAGTAACTTTGTAGTCAAAATGCTTTATGTGACCCCTAAAAGTACAAAAAAAGAAGAACAAAAATCTTAGCTGAGGAGGAATAAGTGTAAATGTTTCAAATGGCATTATCACATAAACATGTTTAACTTTATGGTGGCAGTGTGCCTTTATAAGCTTTGCCCTTGGCAGACAGCACATAGAGAGCAAAGAAAGAAGAGGAGAAATGGAACAATGTTTTGATTTCTCTAATTTCCCTTCCCCATTTGCATTGTGTGCCCTGGTTGTGCCAGAACTAAAATATGTAATGTAATTTAATTTGCTAAATATTTTATGTAATATATCATCTTTAAGCACCACCATGACTATACATAGACACATGCAACTAATTTCATAATAATGTCCTCAAAACTCACTGGGTGCCCGAAACTGCTTGGAGTTTGGGAAAATGCTTTATCACTGTAAAATTACACACCGTTCCCTGTGCATACAACTGAACCTGGCTAACTAAATCTGTCAATGGGTTAAGCAGCAAAGCATCAGTCTTACCCACACAACTGAAGCACATGTACCTACATACAATATATCTAACCAAATTGAGAACTGCAGAGCATTCCAAGTGAATTCCAAATTTAAGGCCAATGAAGCCAAACTGGCAGAAATTCTACAAGTCAAATATGCTTCCAGTTCAGCCATTTTGGTGGTCTAAAAATGTAAATTCACTTTGAATTCTTGACTATTTTCACTTTAGTGAAAAACCCTGTAAATTTTAGGGTATGCCTACCCCATATACAGTAATATTTTTAATAGCTTAATAACAAGCGTTACAACAGCAATACGCTGATTTTTAGAAAATCTAAATAACTTACTTGTTGAAAAACGGTATGTGAGCTTCACAGTGCTCAAACCCATTTTTGACGCTTTCATGAAGTTTTAATTTCACTGATATTTGTACTTGGCACCCTTCTCCAGTCAACTGGTAAAATCCCAAAATTGGAGGCACTGGTACCTTAAATACATATTCAGAATAAAAAAGTGTTTTTGCAACGCCAGATACATATAGATGAAGGTTTCACACAGTCAAGTATATATAAAGAGAAAATTAATCTTGACCCATTGACAAGACATAATTTTGGAGAAATCCATAATTACTCAAATATATATTTCCTGGACCGCTCAGAATAAAACAGTGATTATAGCAGGAAGATAATAAGCAAAAAAACAAAAAAATTAAACTATACTTTAAGCTTTTTGCAACTGTTGTGTCTATTTTAATCAGAAGTTCGGAATCTTGCAAAATGCACGATTTTGGGAATACATCAATAATCTATGATTTTCACCTATTTTGTTAGTCATTGGTTAAATGTCGCCTTTTCAAAACTGAATGTCAGCAGAATATGGTAAAATATGAGTGCAAATTTCCGCGGTACATAAAACCACTGCAAAAAGTAGATAACTAAAGCATATCCCTTGCGGTATTTTGTAATTTTTCATTCAGCCATTGTATGACCAATCTCTGCCAGATTTATACTATTAATTATAAATTGTGTTTACATACACACAGAACACGGATGATACATGCTACTGTTGAAAATAACACCAATCTGTACTCTGCCACACAAACCCAAGTACAGAAACGACCCCACTTTACTTTTTATCACATGCAAGCTTCACTTTAAAATAGGTGACTTGAAAAAAAGTGTCTTTAAAAAGCAATTTATCACGTGTCTGTCATTCTAGTAATATTTTAACGGAGTATATTGCTGTATTAGTGTCTAAATGATGGAGGTACAGCAGAATATATCAGGCAGTGATCATCTGTCAAAAGAAAGATAAAAATGAATTTAAGGTTAATGCAGTACCTGCCTTTAATTCTCACTATTCTGAGCCTATAACCTCATCTAACCCTAATCCTATGTCTTAGTTACCTTTAGGTTTCCCTGAATTTGATTTGCACTGTGTGTTGAATCAGATTCAGTATCTCCCAGCACTTATAACAAACACATACACACTGATCAGACCAAAGAGGAGTGACTGACCATGGGAGTTTGCCTCAATTGTTATTATGGGATGTTTTCTCAATGGTTATCAAATTTACTTAATCAGTCAGCATTGGGCCATCACATTTTTCCCCAGTTGACAGAGTTAAGACCAAAGTATTGATAGAAAATAACACAATGTCTTAATTTCTCACACTTTTTTTTAGATTTGATTCATTTTATCTTGTTTCATATATTATTATTATTATTGATATCTATATAGTGTCAACTGACCCCGCAGCACTTTAAAATATTGAAGGAGAACATTATTACAATAAATGAGACAATTACAATTAAAATGTTACAGGAACAATAGGTTGATGAGGGCCCTGCTCAAACAAGCTTATAGTCTAGAGGAGGTAGGGTATAAAAACACAACAGGAAGGGCATCGAGGGGGACAGCAAACACGGTGGGAAAGTTGCAGAATTGGAGGTGAGAGTGGAGTAAGAGAAGGTTTATAAAATAGAAGTTACTCTGGGAGGCCATAAGTATTTCTGAACAGATGGGTTTTGAGGGATTTCATAAATGATTGAAGACTAGAGAGTCTGGTGGTGGGCAGGTAGCCTGCGAGAAGTCCTGCAAGTGTGAGTTAGCAGTAAGGGTGCGAGCAGCAGACAGGAGATGGTCACCAGCAAAGAGGAGAGACCGAGAAGGGGCATATCTATAAATATTTGATGTAAAATGAAAGTCTTATTTTTCCTGAACAAAATCGTATATAATATATGTAGGTGCATATTAATATGAAAGAGGTAAATTATGGATGAACAGGCATATACCTCAAATTCTAGGTTTTGTTTTGGTTCAGAACTTGTAATAATGCCTCCATCCTTACGGGGTTAAGTAGAAGATTTCGCCATTGGTTAGAATAATAATAATACATTTTAGAATAGTGTTATTTTTTTAATCAGTAAAGCATTAAACACATAGCAATATGCATGTTTGTAGTATTTCAGAATATTTCATGATGTGTAATTTACCTGCGATGTGTAGAAACACAAATGGAATAAATCCAAGGGAGGCACAAATGGTAATTTGTAAGGTCCATTGAATGCAGAGTCATCAGCTATAGCTACACTGCTTGAGATTAACATGGAAGAGTCGACGGAAGTCACACAGGGATGGACCAGGATATCCTGAAGTGGAGAGCCATTGGCTGGTAGATTCAAGCTGACTGTTACATTTGGACTGATTGCTTCCAAATTGCACTTTGTGAGAAGAAAAAAAAATGATGACGTTAATTAGATCTGTTTAAATGCCCAAAATAAGGCTTTTAATCCACATGTCCACTTACTCAGCACAAGCTTCAAATGACCCCCTGTGGAATTTGTGCATTAAAATCAATCAAATGTACTTTTTGCATAATAAAAATAATAATAATAATTTACATAGGTCCGTACATGCTAATAAGTGCTTGAGCCACTTTAGGTTGACTGCAATCAAAGAGTTATTATTTTAGGTAGCGCTGAATAAGTTAGGCCCTGGGAGCTAATGTTCGTTCCACAATGATAAACAAAAGGGGAATCGGCAGGAGAAGAGCTGAAATGATTCTGCCTCTCACTGTGTTCAATGACCACCACCTGCATAAACATCTGCCTGCCCTTCACAGGTTTTAAATGAGTCTGCCCACTACCCGGTTTCTTGAATGCAGTTAATAAGTTTCAAATATGAGCAAACTGTGTAGAAATGTTACCGTTACAACGTTACTGAATAGCTTACTGGCACAAACATAAACTGCGCTTAGAAACTTGAAGAAAATAACTTCATTTCTTACAGGTTAACACATGAGGTTGTGTTGTAGAATTCAAACACTGCCCTTTACATCTTGTTTTTCAATAAAACAAATTCAGTACAATTACTTTTTATATAAAATGTCACCTTTGATGCAAAATTCGAATTAATAAAAGGTCTAAGACATTAATCAACATAAAATACTGCTGTTAAAGAACCAGTAATTGATATTATATATATAAGAAAATCATGAGAACTACACTAAGAAAGTCAATTTTATTTTTATTGTCTGCATTTTACATCTAACTGGGACCGTTATCAAGAGGCATTCTAAGCACCATAACCACTTAGCCTGATGTATTGCTAGTAGGCTATGGGTCCTCTCTTCTAGCTTTGTGTCAAACCAGTATCAATTACAATTATTCATATAGTGCCAACATATTCTGCAGTGCTGTACAATAGCTAAACAGGATATAGAATTCTTACAACATTTCTTGATATAAGAAACAGTAGGTGAAGAAGGCCCTGCCCAAATGAGCTTACAACCTAAATGGTGGTTTGACTATTTAGGGGATCACCAAGACACCTGGAGAGCGCCACCAAGTGGCCTGGCCTCTTGATGTTAGCAGCTGGTTTGAAATCAATGGGAACTGGAAGATAGCAGAGCTTACTCCTTCCATCCTTCTTCCAGAGAATAACATTACCCTCCATGGCTGTATGTGGCTGGCAGTAGAAAGGATCTGCCCGACTGTCTAAAAGGAAGGTCGCTGGTGCTGTGTAGGTTAAAGGATCACTATAGGCACCCAGACCACTTCAGCTCAATGAAGTGGTCTGGGTGCCAGGTCCCTCTAGTTTTAACCCTGCAGCTGAAACTGCTATGTTTCACTGAGGGTTATTCCATTTAATGTGGATAAGTGCAAGATAATTCATCTTGGACGTAAAAACCCAAGGGCAGAGTACAGAATATTTGATAGAGTTCTAACCTCAAAATCTGAGGAAAGGGATTTAGGGGTGATAATTTCTGATTACTTAAAGGTAGGCAGACAATGTAATAGAGCAGCAGGAAATGCTAGCAGAATGCTTGGTTGTATAGGGACAGGTATTAGCAGTAGAAAGAGAGAAGTGCTCATGCCATTGTATAGAACACTGGTGAGACCTCACTTGGAGTATTGTACACAGTACTGGAGACCGTATCTTCAGAAGGATATTGATACTTTAGAGAGAGTTCAGAGAAGGGCTACTAAACTGGTTCATGGATTGCAGGATAAAACTTACCAGGAAAGGTTAAAGGATCGTAACATGTATAGCTTGTAGGAAAGAAGAGACAGGGGGGATATGATAAAAACATTTAAATACATTAAGGAAATCAACACAGTAAAGGAGGAGACCGTATTTAAAAGAAGAAAAACTACCACAACAAGAGGACATAGTCTTAAATTAGAGGGGCAAAGGTTTGAAAATAATATCCGGAAATATTACTTTACTGAGAGGGTAGTGGATGCATGGAATAGCCTTCCAGCTGAAGTGGTAGAGATTAACACAGTGAGGGAGTTTAAGCATGTGTGGGATAGGCATAATGCTATCCTAACTATAAGATAAGGCCAGGGACTAATGAAAGTATTTAGAAAATTGGGCAGACTAGATGGGCCGAATGGTTCTTATCTGCCGTCACATTCTATGTTTCTATATATTAAAAAAAAACAAAAAACAATTAAATGCAATGAAAGCTTTGTGTTTGAAGTAAATTTTTACTGCAACAGATTTATATTTTCTTAGCTAGTTCATTTGACTATATACTTGGTGTAATGTATAAAAAAGAAAAACCCTCAATCAATCGCATAATCCTAAAATAGAAACATTGTTGAATATCTCCTGTCTTCATTTCCATTTCTGCTGAACAATTAGGCTTGGTATCAACAGCAAGGGCAATGAGATACATTTAATCCTTATGTGTGGGGATAAAAGACTTACAAATGAATGTAACAAAAACAAAACAAAAAACAAAAACAGAAAACAGTTTTTGAAGCAAACAAGCATAGCTGCTAAAAGAACAGCATCAATGCAACAGCTTACGGTGAGCACACGTTAAAATAGAATGTTTTAGTGACTGCGAACTTGCATATAAATGTATCTAGATGCAATCATAAAAAAGCATAAAATCATATTAACCCCTTAAGGACCGGCCTGTTTTAACACTTTTGTGGTGTTTGTGTTTAGCTGTAATTTTCTACTCTCTCATTTACGGTTCCCACACAAATTATATATTGTTTTTTTCTTTTTTCTTTACATACCATTATTTGTATCAGGTCATATATTTTATTTAAAATAAATAAATAAAATATGGTGAAAAATTGAAAAAAAACAAACATGTTTTTGGACTTTTACTTGAAACATCTTTTAATTATCTACAAAAGCTAATGAAAAAAAACTGCTAAATAGATTAAAAATGTTGTCCTGAGTTTAAAAACACCGAGTGTTTACATGCTTTTTTTTGTGCAAGTTATAGGGCTATAAGTACAAGTAGGAAATTGCTCTTTCAATATATATATTTTTTACATTTATCAATAGTGACATTGTAACACTGCTATCTGTCATAAATCCCCGAATCACACCCCACATGTACATATTTTTTTTAAAGTAGACAACCCAGGGTATTTAATATGGGGTATTTTTTAGTACCCACTTAGTCAAAAACACTGGCCAAAGTTAGCATTTATATTTGTTTGTGTGTTAAAAATGCAAAAAAACGCTAACTTTGGCCAGTGTTTGTGACTAAGTGGCTACTAAAAAAAGCTGAACATACCCCATTTGTAATACCTTGGGTTGTCTTCTTTTGCAAATGGTATGCCATCATGGGGGTAATTCTAATTTCTGGGCTACCGTACGCTCTCAAAGGCAACATTACCAATCTGACAAATTTCAATGAAAAAAGCCTTATATTTGATCCTGTAACTTTCAAAAGCACTATAAAACCTCTACATGTGGGGTACTGTTATACTCAGGAGACTTCGCTGAACACAAATAATAGTGTTTCAGAACATTAAAACCTATCACAGCAATAATATCATCAGTGAAAGTGCCGTTTGTGTGTGAAAAATGCAAAAAACTTCACTTTCACTGATCATATCATCGCTGTGATGTGTTTTACTGTTTTGAAAGACTAATTTTTGTGTTCAGCGAAGTCTCCCGAGTAAAACAGTACCCCCCATGTGCAGGTTTTAGGGTGTCATAGAAAGTTACAGGGTTAAACATAGTGCTAGCAAATTAAATTCTCTGGACTTTCGGCCTGGGTTCTCAGGCATGTCCCTCAAATTGCAATCAATAAAATTACTTAATTATGTGATAATATTACATAACTAGAAAGCTACAATTTCTGGGGAAATTGTGTGAAGTGTTCTTGCCTCCACCAGTGGTCTACAACTAGTGATCGGCCGATATTCTGTATTTTCGGCAAAATCGGTATCGGCCACTAAAGATACCGATATTGCCGATATTGATAGAGTGAGAAATACATTTCAATTTTCATTTATTTATATAGCACATTTAATTGCAACATTGTTGCCCAAAGTGCTTCACAGTTGCATTAAAACATACATTTATAAAAACATTATCAGGTGTACAAAAGGCCCTGTGTCTATGACATCACTTGCTGCTCCAGCCTGGCACAGGTCAGAGTATTTTGGCGGTTGCCATCTTCAAACGGTCGTATTTTAAAAACTATAAATCCTACAGCGAAGAGCTTTATATTGTGAGAATCACAAGACCCAGACCTACATTTTGATGAATGTATGTCTCTGAAATATTAAAAATGAAGGCACAGCCGCAGTTTAGAAATTGCACTTCAAATTTGAGCTGGCTAGGGTGGAGTTTCAATGAATGTCAATGGACGGCGTGAGTTGCAAACAAATGGTCATATTGTGAAAACTATCAGGACTATGGCTTAGCCGTGGACATTTTTAGTGGCAGCAGGGATAGCTGAACGTTTTGATATAAGTAGGGGGGCTTGAAAATGAGGGAGTGGTGGCAGTTTAGAAATCATGTCCTGATTTTTCAGCTTTTGCCAGCTCCCACTCTAGTTTTGAACATTTTGCCATTCATTCCTATGGGACCAATTTCGCCACAAGAACGACGATATTCCGTGAACCATTCGGCGAAACGTTCCACAAACTAATAGAACACCAATCGGGAACAATCCGCACGTTTTGGTATATTACTGTCTATGTAGTGTAAAAACTGTGGGAGGAGTTAGGGTGGTAAATTTGGCTATAATAATAATAAGAATAATATATATGTGAGATAACATTAAGTGGTCTTGCTATGCAACAACACTTAAATATGCACGTAGAATTTAAATATATATACATATTTATATATTTGAAGTCTACGTGTATATTTATGAAATTATTTATGTAATTATGTATATGGACATATGTATATTTCGTATTTTTTTTATACATAGATATTTATATAATTTCATTCTAAGTGTATTTTGATATAAATATATATATGTTATTATCAAAATACCGTTAGAATAAATTACATATATATAAAAAAATCTAATTATTAAAAATTATTTTTACATTTTTAAATTTATTTTTATATACGTATTATTTATATTTTATAATAATATATATACACAATATATAGTTATTATATATATTGTATATATACACACGTGAGTAATTTAATTATAAGTGTATTTTTATATTAATATATGTATATATATATAAAAATACACTTAGTATGACATTATATATATATATATATATATATATATAATACATGTATATATATATCATATATATACACATATATTTTTTAAGACAGATAAAAAAAAAAAATTTTTAACTTTATTTTAGGATTTTCCACTGGCAGGAAGACTGCCTGTCAGCCCAGACAGTCCCCATGCAGGCAGATACACTGGGCGGACAGGCAGTCCCCCGGACCGGGAGGAGTGCAGGTAAGTACCCCAAGACGTTATGACGGTTCAGGACCGTCATCAGTCCTCAAGAGGATGTTTCCGATGACGGTTAAAACCTCATCCCAACTGTGAAGTATGGTGGTGGGGGCATCATGGTTTGGGGCTGTTTTGATGCGTCAGGGTCTGGACGGATTGCGATCATCGAAGGAAAAATGAATTCCCAAGTTTATCAAGACATTTTGCAGGAGAATTTAAGGCCATCTGTCTACCAGCTGAAGCTCAACAGAAGATGGGTGTTGCAACAGGACAATGACCCAAAGCATAGAAGTAAATCAACAACAGAATGGCTTAAACAGAAGAAAATACGCCTTCTGAAGTGGCCCAGTCAGAGTCCTGACCTCAACCCAATTGAGATGCTGTGGCATGACCTCAAGAAAGCGATTCACACCAGACATCCCAAGAATATTGCTGAACTGAAACAGTTCTGTAAAGAGGAATGGTCAAGAATTACTCCTGACCGTTGTGCACGTCTGATCTGCAACTACAGGAAACGTTTGGTTGAAGTTATTGCTGCCAAAGGAGGTTCAACCAGTTATTAAATTCAAGGGTTCACATACTTTTTCCACCTGCACTGTGAATGTTTACATGGTGTGTTCAATAAAAACATGGCAACATTTCATTCTTTGTGTGTTATAAGTTTAAGCAGACTGTGATTGTCTATTGTTGTGACTTAGATGATGATCAGATCACATTTTATTACCAATTTGTGCAGAAATCCATATCATTCCAAAGGGTTCACATATTTTTTCTTACAACTGTATATGCCTGTCAGGATTACAGTTGATCCAGCAGGCAGAATAGTGTCACACCTAGGACTAAAGATAACGTCTTACCAGACCTCAGAATGGCCAATATACTAGCCGAGATCAGAAACATAGAATGAGACACAGCCGAGGTCACGGACACAGAATGAGACACAGCGATAAGGTAATGCCAATATTCAAGGGTACCAGAAGTCAGGAAGTCAAAACTAAGCCAAAGTCAAAAACCAGAAAAACACGATCAGAAACACACTCCAGGATAGCCATCCAAGGTAAACCACTACAGGGCAATGAGCTTAAGGAATAAGTGAGTTTAAATAACCCTCTTGCAGCTTCGATTGGCCGTACCTAGCCTTTGACCTCAAAACCTGCGTGTGCGTCTTTTGCGTGACTTCACGTCAACGTCGTCTTTACCGTGGCCAGACGGGATGCTATAAAATAGTGTGGATCCGCAGCGGCCGGTGTCCACCGACGTTGCAAAAGCTAGGCATCACGGCAGAGGACCGCTGAGCGGCACTCCTCTTAATCTTAGGAAGGTAATTATCTCTGTGTTTGTCACATGGAGACGAAGGATACGTGACAATGGCTCAAGGATCCTGTTATATACAGAATGTAGGGATGAGTTTTTCTCCTTTTTTTTTTTTTAACATATAATTATTATTTTTTTTAAAGTGTGTTTAAAAAAGTTCCTTTCAAAACTTGATGATAGGATTATCATATTAAAATTAGTGTTGAGGTGACAGTTATTCCTTAATGTACGGCATGGAATACATCATGGTAACTCCCTCTGCCACCTGCAACTGAACAATAGTCTTAAAGGGACACTCAAAACACCTAAAGCACTTCAGCTGAATTGCTTTAGGCGTGAAGAGTCTGTCCTCTTTTCTATCTTACAAAAAGTGCAGATTTCAATCAAAGTTGGCACTTTTATAAATAGACCACCGTACACGCCCCTGGCTGTCATTTGGTCCTGTGACTTTCTGTTTTTTTTTTTAGCTCAGTGGAGATAAACGCAAGAGACAGCAATTGTTCAGAACACCTACCCTGCGAAGACTTCTCTTTGAGCTGCATTTAGGAAGTCTGTAATTGGACAGCCACAGAAAGTCTGGGCGGAGTTAGAATGGGAGGGTTTGTAAAGGCTGCAGACAAGAGATTTGCTACTTTTGCAAGCTGTTTTAGATATACCCCAGATAAAAAAAAAAATCTTAATGAAATGCAAACCTGTTTTTATTGGGGGCACATTTACTAAAGAGTAATAATATATTTGGGAAGTGAAGTGTCCCTTTAAGCCAGGATATTGTTGCCCAATAGCTACTGAAAAGTTGTGGTTGTTTTATATGAAGAACATAATTCATTTTGCCTAGATCTGCTGTAATAAGTTTTCAATATATTGACCATTTATAATTTTTCACATTAAATTGTACGTGTCATGGTACACAAAACTTTACACAAATAATAGCACAAAAAAAATTATCACTACGTTGTGCAAGCAATATTGCTAGAAAACATAAATATAGTCATAAAACGATATCTAAAAAATATGGTCCCTTCCTCACATTAAAATATTATCCTGAACACTGGACCTTTGCATATCTAAGCATCTGCACTCAGAGTTAAGGGAGAGCAGGAGATCCTGTTACGGGTGGTTCTCCTGCTCTTCTCCACGCAAGTGTTTCCCACAAGGATAAGGAGAACATCCAGAAGACTGACATCATTATGGAGGAATGCCCATCTTGGAGAGGCCTCCTCAAGCAGTTCAATCGCATCAGAGAGGAGATGGGAGTAGACTTTGGCAGTTACAATAGAGCAACACCCACAGACCTTGGGGAACGTTAACTAATGTTACGAGAAATGCAATCGAAAGAGCCTGATTTTGCAAGGCAGAAAATTGAGCTAGTTTAAAAGGTGTCTTCTTCCTTACCCAGTCAAACAAGTCTCCACACGTGCACACCTTATATACTCACAGACATAATATTGGTCTAATAAAAAGCTCACCTTGCAGGAGACTGTTCCATATACTTGCCACATGTCACTATCATAGCCTTTGTCGTACTGAGAAGATATAACTTCCTCTGTGATGTAAACTTCGATCTGAGATTTACCCTTCTGCCTGTTCATTCTCCATGATGGGGATTTGTGTTCCTGATTCGCTGCACTACTGTTCACAACTTCATGTAAACCAATCAAGTTTGAATCTAAAGGTGAGCCCAATGGACAAACCTGCGTTATCAGAAGTGGAAGCTGAGCCAGCTTAGAAGAAATTTCTGCTTCGGGATTCTGTCCTGAATTAAGAAACAAAATTGCCCCAGATAAAAGAGAAAAAGCTTCTGATATACTGTTAATGTTCATTAATGATGGTTGTGGTTCCAGTACTTGCTCCACCAAGGGGAGGCAAACATATATAAAGTCATCATTTTCTATTGCGAGGACAGGCCACAGTTTTCCTTCAGATACAGATAAGGTGTGCACATTTGTTTTTCTGATTCGAGAACAGTTGTCTCTGTATTCCACAAAGGTTTTATTTACATCTGTAAGCCCCAGCTCATGAAGTAATGATTTCAGCAGGTCATCGTCCTCTGGGATACCCACATAACTTGCCCTGTTAAAAGCCTTTGCTCTTTTTTCCACTGTGGGATAACGCCTACAAGAAACAAAAGAACTCAGCTAACACCAGTCAATGTAACTTAAATTATGTTATTATGGTATAAATTTAAGTAAAACTATGTGAAAATGTAATGTGATATTTTATCTCCTACATAAGAAAATATAATTCAGTATGCCTTGTAAACGATGCAAAGAATTGCACTGTCTCGGCAGCACAGAGTGGCCAGGCTTCTGGTGTAATTTTTTTTTTTTTCATGAAATTGTTCCAAGAGACTCCTTACAATATAACCTGATAAGTGGTTAGGGCATTCAGTCATTTAGGACAACAGCTTGATGGATGGGTTTGATAAGTACCTGTCCTGATATTGAAAAAACATTTAAAGTGATATTTAACGTGCTATCATCTTATTGTCATTCGAATACAAATTTTAGTTCTCAATTTAAAATAAGAAAAACTTTGTAATTAAGAGTGGAAAATAGACAACATAAGTCAACAAAACAAGCATAATGCATATAATGGACTTGATTAATGGAACACAAACCTGTATATCCTGTATATCCAACGCTTTAGTTTTACTCTGTCGCTTGTTATAGAGGTCCCCCATGTGTGTTATAAAACTAATAAAATAAAGGTTTTTCAGGACTGAGGCTTACCAGCTCTGCTTACCTCTCCATTTTCAGCAACATCATGAAGGAGGCAAGGTCTCCTTCAGTATGGTCCCATGCAATGCTCCTCACAGCATGTATTCATGCTTTCCTATGGGCTTTTGCATCACTTGGCAGAATTTTACTCTCAATAAAGTGGCCTGGGTGCAGTGTCTAGTGGCTGTTACATTGGAGTCGCTTCCGGTGCAACCACCAAGTAAAACCCTTTATTGCAGCCCCCATAGGAAAGCACTGATTCAGCAAGTGGGTATCCAAGTTACCCCATAGAAAAGCATTGAATCAATGCTTTGCTATCAAGCAACCTAGTTTTACTCGTTGCACCAGAAGCGTGTGTAAAGCACTTGTCTAAGAAGCAAGAGTATCTCTAGTGGCTGTCATACTGGCACTAACCGAGTAAAACTAAGGTCAAGTGATACAGAAGCCCAGAAGAAAGCATTAAAGGGACACTCCAGGCACCCTGATCACTTCTGCCCATTGGAGTGGTCTGGGTGCCAGCTCCCACTACCCTTAACCCTGCAAGTGTAATTATTGCAGTTTTCATAAACTAAAATATTTGTCTTGAAGGGTTAAGTCCTCCTCTAGTGGCTGTCTACTAGACAGTCACTAGAGGACACTTTCGTGTTCATAGAACACGAAAAGTGTGCTATAATGTCGCTGGACGTCTTCACGCTATGTGAGGACCTCCAGTGTAGCTGAAATCCCCATAGGAGAGCATTGAAAGCATTAGACCTCCCCATAGTAAAGCATTTAATAATGCTTTCCTATGGGGAGGTCTAATGCGCGTGCGCATTAGGTCTCCCCAACCGCTGGCCGCGCATGCTCATTAGGTCTCCCCCACCTGATGACGTCGGAGGAGAATGGGCGGACCCTGACCCAGTGCCGAGGGACATCGGCGCTGGATACAGGTAAGTCATTGAAGGGGTTTTATCCCCTTCAGAAACATGGGATGGGGGGTGGGAGGGAGAGGGGACCTGCAGTGCCAGAAAAACAGTTTGTTTATCTGGCACTGGAGAGTCCCTTTAATTACATGCTATGAGGTCATTGGATTGGGGCATTGCACATACGAAGTTATTGTTAATTGTGTGCTGGGGGCTAGTTACACACCCAGCACAAGTGACTTCGGCAGAACTCTGTTCTTTGTATATTTTGGGTCTGTCGTCAGCACACTGGTGACAGACTTTATAATCTGCTCCCTTGCAGGCATAGTGCATTGAATGGGAAAATAGCCCCTCTGGCTCCCTTTATTTGACCTATTTTTTATGATTTTTTAAAAAAAAACCTCCCTCCTGCAAGCGCTTTTGAGCCTGTTAAACAGTCCAATCACAAGCATGTCTTTGAGAGGCCTGTAATTGGACCACACAAGGCCCAGTGACATCAGATGGAGGCATGGAATTCATCACTGGAAGTGTCGCCTGGCACATGATAACAGGTAGGTAAAATATATTCTTTTGCAGCTTATGATGCAACCGGGGGGCAGGCAGCTTATTAATAAAAAGAGCATTTTACACCGAAAACATCCCACCTCCAAAGAGTAACACTTTAACTAAGGACATGGGCACTATAGCGTTAGGAATACAGGTTTGTATTCCTAACTGTAGTGTTCCCTTAAGACTGATATGCAGAACCTAAACAGAATAAAACATATAAGGAGAAATGCAAATCATGTTTACCTTGAGAATTTCACTATACCATCCTTTCCTAATGTGTGGCTAAAGATCCACAAGGCCCGTATCGGCATTTTGCAAAGATGGTGAAATGTTCAGACATGAAAGAAAAATAAACCTGCATAAAAATATTGAATTATAAATTAGAATTGCTTTAATCACATAAGCTATACACTTTCACGTCAGTTTGCATTTTTTATCTACATGCTTCAATGATAAAGACACTGCTCAACTTTCTAAAAATCTCAGGTTGGTGTTCTATCGATCTCAGCATCCCGATTATATTACTGGGTTTCTGATCATGTATATAATGAAAACTCAATCATTAGAACAAAGGCACCAACGAGACAATGCGATATTTCACTAAAAAAGTGCCACAAAACATATGGCAATATAGCACGCATCAGTTTAAAAAAAAAAAGTTATTTATTTCCAGTATCTTAGCTGCAAAAATGTTATATATATTTTTTTTATATTTTATATTATCTGACCCAGTGCCAAATCTGCTACTTATAAAAAAAAAAAAAAAAAAAAGCAGCTCGGTTCCAATCTATAAAATTGCTTAAAAAACATACTCATAGATATTTCATGCCACTGAGTGATGTGGATCAGAATAGTATATTTTCTGACAAGCGGAAGGAGAATGGAATCAGTCCCATTTATGATGAAAATTCACTGTATGTGTTCCAATATGGAATGCACGGCCATATTTTTAAATGAGAAAAGACTCTAGTCACCAAAACATCTTTAGCTTAATGAAGCAAGTTTGGTGAGTTAACCCTTTAATATCCGAGGTGGAGACACTCGGTTCCAGTCACAGTCTGGGTTAGTGAATAGCCCTGCTGGACAGTCTGAGGGAGAGTTAACCCTTTAATATCCGAGGTGGAGACACTCGGTTCCAGTCACAGTCTGGGTTAGTGAATAGCCCTGCCGGACAGTCTGAGGGAGAGTTAACCCTTTAATATCCGAGGTGGAGACTCTCGGTTCCAGTCACAGTCTGGGTTAGTGAATAGCCCTGCCGGACAGTCTGAGGGAGAGTTAACCCTTTAATATCCGAGGTGGAGACTCTCGGTTCCAGTCACAGTCTGGGTTAGTGAATAGCCCTGCCGGACAGTCTGAGGGAGAGTTAACCCTTTAATATCCGAGGTGGAGACACTCGGTTCCAGTCACAGTCTGGGTTAGTGAATAGCCCTGCCGGACAGTCTGAGGGGGAGTTAACCCTTTAATATCCGAGGTGGAGACTCTCGGTTCCAGTCACAGTCTGGGTTAGTGAATAGCCCTGCCGGACAGTCTGAGGGAGAGTTAACCCTTTAATATCCGAGGTGGAGACTCTGGGTTCCAGTCACAGTCTGGGTTAGTGAATAGCCCTGCCGGACAGTCTGAGGGAGAGTTAACCCTTTAATATCCGAGGTGGAGACTCTCGGTTCCAGTCACAGTCTGGGTTAGTGAATAGCCCTGCTGGACAGTCTGAGGGAGAGTTAACCCTTTAATATCCGAGGTGGAGACTCTCGGTTCCAGTCACAGTCTGGGTTAGTGAATAGCCCTGCCGGACAGTCTGAGGGAGAGTTAACCCTTTAATATCCGAGGTGGAGACTCTCGGTTCCAGTCACAGTCTGGGTTAGTGAATAGCCCTGCCGGACAGTCTGAGGGAGAGTTAACCCTTTAATATCCGACGTGGAGACTCTCGGTTCCAGTCACAGTCTGGGTTAGTGAATAGCCCTGCCGGACAGTCTGAGGGAGAGTTAACCCTTTAATATCCGAGGTGGAGACTCTGGGTTCCAGTCACAGTCTGAGTTAGTGAATAGCCCTGCCGGACAGTCTGAGGGAGAGTTAACCCTTTAATATCCGAGGTGGAGACTCTCGGTTCCAGTCACAGTCTGGGTTAGTGAATAACCCTGCCGGACAGTCTGAGGGAGAGTTAACCCTTTAATATCCGAGGTGGAGACTCTCGGTTCCAGTCACAGTCTGGGTTAGTGAATAGCCCTGCCGGACAGTCTGAGGGAGAGTTAACCCTTTAATATCCGAGGTGGAGACTCTCGGTTCCAGTCACAGTCTGGGTTAGTGAATAGCCCTGCTGGACAGTCTGAGGGGAGAGTTAACCCTTAATACCGAGGTGCACCTGGGTTCCAGTCACAGTCTGTTAGTTAGTGAATAGCCCCTGCCGACAGTCTGAGGGAGAGTTAACCCCTTTAATATCCCAGGTGGAGACTCGGTTCCAGTCACAGTCTGGGTTACAGTGAATAGCCCCTGCCGACAGTCTGAGTGGGAGAGTTAACCCCTTTAACATCCGAGGTGAGACTCTGGGTTCCAATCACAGTCTGGGTTTATGGAAGAGCGCCGCCGACAGTCTGAGGGAGAGCACCCTTTAATATCCCGAGGTGGAGACTCGGTTCCAGTCACAGTCTGTTAGTAATGAGCTCCAAGCCGGACAGTCTGAGGGGAGCACCTTTAATATCCAGGAGACACTGGGTTCCAGTCACAGTCTGGGTTAGTGAATAGCCCTGCCGGACAGTCTGAGGGAGAGTTAACCCTTTAATATCCGAGGTGGAGACTCTCGGTTCCAGTCACAGTCTGGGTTAGTGAATAGCCCTGCCGGACAGTCTGAGGGAGAGTTAACCCTTTAATATCCGAGGTGGAGACTCTCGGTTCCAGTCACAGTCTGGGTTAGTGAATAGCCCTGCCGGACAGTCTGAGGGAGAGTTAACCCTTTAATATCCGAGGTGGAGACTCTCGGTTCCAGTCACAGTCTGGGTTAGTGAATAGCCCTGCTGGACAGTCTGAGGGGGAGTTAACCCTTTAATATCCGAGGTGGAGACTCTGGGTTCCAGTCACAGTCTGGGTTAGTGAACAGCCCTGCTGGACAGTCTGAGGGAGAGTTAACCCTTTAATATCCGAGGTGGAGACTCTCGGTTCCAGTCACAGTCTGGGTTAGTGAATAGCCCTGCCGGACAGTCTGAGGGGGAGTTAACCCTTTAATATCCGAGGTGGAGACTCTCGGTTCCAGTCACAGTCTGGGATAGTGAATAGCCCTGCCGGACAGTCTGAGGGAGAGTTAACCCTTTAATATCCGAGGTGGAGACACTCGGTTCCAGTCACAGTCTGGGTTAGTGAATAGCCCTGCCGGACAGTCTGAGGGAGAGTTAACCCTTTAATATCCGAGGTGGAGACTCTCGGTTCCAGTCACAGTCTGGGTTAGTGAATAGCCCTGCCGGACAGTCTGAGGGAGAGTTAACCCTTTAATATCCGAGGTGGAGACTCTCGGTTCCAGTCACAGTCTGGGGTAGTGAATAGCCCTGCGGACAGTCTGAGGGAGTTAACCCTTTAATATCCGAGGTGGAGACACTCGGTTCCAGTCACAGTCTGGGTTAGTGAATAGCCCTGCCGGACAGTCTGAGGATTAACCCACTTGTGTATCGGTGGGGCAGGTTCCCCGGTCAGAGTCACAGGTTGGTAGATAGCCCTGCGGACAGTCTGAGGGAGAGTTAACCCTTGTATCCCGGGGTGAGACTCTGGGTTCCAGTCACAGTCTGGGTCCAGTGAATAGCCCTGCAGGACGGTCTGAGAGTTAACCCTTTGTATCCGGTGGAGACACTTTCGGTTCCAGTCTGGTCTGGGTTGAGTAGAATATTAGCCCTGCTACGGACGGTCTGAGGGAGAGTTAACCCTTTATCAGGGGTGGAGACTCACGGGTTCCAGTCACGGTCTGGGTTAGTGAATAGCCCTGCCGGACAGTCTGAGGGGGAGTTAACCCTTTAATATCCGAGGTGGAGACTCTGGGTTCCAGTCACAGTCTGGGTTAGTGAACAGCCCTGCTGGACAGTCTGAGGGAGAGTTAACCCTTTAATATCCGAGGTGGAGACTCTCGGTTCCAGTCACAGTCTGGGTTAGTGAATAGCCCTGCCGGACAGTCTAAGGGAGAGTTAACCCTTTAATATCCGAGGGGAAACTCTCGGTTCCAGTCACAGTCTGGGTTAGTGAATAGCCCTGCCGGACAGTCTGAGGGAGAGTTAACCCTTTAATATCCGAGGTGGAGACTCTCGGTTCCAGTCACGGTCTGGGTTAGTGAATAGCCCTGCCGGACAGTCTGAGGGAGAGTTAACCCTTTAATATCCGAGGTGGAGACTCTCGGTTCCAGTCACAGTCTGGGTTAGTGAATAGCCCTGCCGGACGGTCTGAGGGAGAGTTAACCCTTTAATATCCGAGGTGGAGACTCTCGGTTCCAGTCACAGTCTGGGTTAGTGAATAGCCCTGCTGGACAGTCTGAGGGAGAGTTACCCCTTTAATATCCGAGGTGGAGACTCTCGGTTCCAGTCACAGTCTGGGTTAGTGAATAGCCCTGCTGGACAGTCTGAGGGAGAGTTAACCCTTTAATATCCGGGGTGGAGACTCTCGGTTCCAGTCACAGTCTGGGTTAGTGAATAGCCCTGCCGGACAGTCTGAGGGAGAGTTAACCCTTTAATATCCGAGGTGGAGACTCTGGGTTCCAGTCACAGTCTGGGTTAGTGAATAGCCCTGCCGGACAGTCTGAGGGGGAGTTAACCCTTTAATATCCGAGGTGGAGACTCTGGGTTCCAGTCACAGTCTGGGTTAGTGAACAGCCCTGCTGGACAGTCTGAGGGAGGGTTAACCTTTATCCGGTGGAGACTCTGGGTTCCAGTCACCAGTCTGGGTTGGTGAATAGCCCTGCCAGGACACGGTCTGAGGGAGGTGGCCAGCAATATCCGGTGGAGACTCACCGGTTCCAGTCGGTCCTGGGTTGAGTGAATAGCCCTGCCGGACAGTCTGAGGGAGAGTTAGCCCTTTAATATCCGAGGTGGAGACTCTCGGTTCCAGTCACAGTCTGGGTTAGTGAATAGCCCTGCTGGACAGTCTGAGGGAGAGTTAACCCTTTAATATCCGAGGTGGAGACACTTTCGGTTCCAGTCACGGTCTGGGTTGGTAGATAGCCTGCGGACAGTCTGAGGGAGGTTAACCCTTTGTATCGAGGTGGAGACACTCGGTTCCAGTCACAGTCTGGGTTAGTGAATAGCCCTGCCGGACAGTCTGAGGGAGAGTTAACCCTTTAATATCCGAGGTGGAGACTCTCGGTTCCAGTCACAGTCTGGGTTAGTGAATAGCCCTGCTGGACAGTCTGAGGGAGAGTTACCCCTTTAATATCCGAGGTGGAGACTCTCGGTTCCAGTCACAGTCTGGGTTAGTGAATAGCCCTGCTGGACAGTCTGAGGGGGAGTTAACCCTTTAATATCCGAGGTGGAGACTCTCGGTTCCAGTCACAGTCTGGGTTAGTGAATAGCCCTGCTGGACAGTCTGAGGGAGAGTTAACCCTTTAATATCCAAGGTGGAGACACTCGGTTCCAGTCACAGTCTGGGTTAGTGAATAGCCCTGCCGGACAGTCTGAGGGGGAGTTAACCCTTTAATATCCGAGGTGGAGACTCTCGGTTCCAGTCACAGTCTGGGGTAGTGAATAGCCCTGCCGGACAGTCTGAGGGAGAGTTAACCCTTTAATATCCCAGGTGGAGACACACGGTTCCAGTCACAGTCTGGGTTTAGTGAAAAGCCCTGCCGGACAGTCTGAGGGAGAGTTAACCCTTTAATATCCGAGGCGGAGACTCTCGGTTCCAGTCACAGTCTGGGTTAGTGAATAGCCCTGCCGGACAGTCTGAGGGAGAGTTAACCCTTTAATATCCGAGGTGGAGACACTCGGTTCCAGTCACAGTCTGGGTTAGTGAATAGCCCTGCCGGACAGTCTGAGGGAGAGTTAACCCTTTAATATCCGAGGTGGAGACTCTCGGTTCCAGTCACAGTCTGGGTTAGTGAATAGCCCTGCTGGACAGTCTGAGGGAGAGTTACCCCTTTAATATCCGAGGTGGAGACTCTCGGTTCCAGTCACAGTCTGGGTTAGTGAATAGCCCTGCTGGACAGTCTGAGGGGGAGTTAACCCTTTAATATCCGAGGTGGAGACTCTCGGTTCCAGTCACAGTCTGGGTTAGTGAATAGCCCTGCTGGACAGTCTGAGGGAGAGTTAACCCTTTAATATCCGGGTGGAGACTCTCCGGTTTTGATCCTGGTCTGGGTTAGTGAATAGCCCTGCCGGACGGTCTGAAGGGGAGGATTAACCCTTTGTATCCGGGGTGGAGCTCTCGGTTCACCAGTCACAGTCTGGGTTAGTGAATAGCCCGCCTGCCGGACAGTCTGAGGGAGAGTTAACCCTTTAATATCCGAGGTGGAGACTCTTGGTTCCAGTCACAGTCTGGGTTAGTGAATAGCCCTGCCGGACAGTCTGAGGGAGAGTTAACCCTTTAATATCCGAGGTGGAGACACTCGGTTCCAGTCACAGTCTGGGTTTAGTGAATAGCCCTGCTGGACAGTCTGAGGGAGAGTTAACCATTTAATATCCGAGGTGGAGACTCTGGGTTCCAGTCACAGTCTGGGTTAGTGAATAGCCCTGCCGGACAGTCTGAGGGAGAGTTAACCCTTTAATATCCGAGGTGGATACTCTCGGTTCCAGTCACAGTCTGGGTTAGTGAATAGCCCTGCTGGACAGTCTGAGGGAGAGTTAACCCTTTAATATCCGAGGTGGAGACTCTCGGTTCCAGTCACAGTCTGGGTTAGTGAATAGCCCTGCTGGACAGTCTGAGGGAGAGTTAACCCTTTAATATCCGAGGTGGAGACTCTCGGTTCCAGTCACAGTCTGGGTTAGTGAATAGCCCTGCCGGACAGTCTGAGGGAGAGTTAACCCTTTAATATCCGAGGTGGAGACTCTGGGTTCCAGTCACAGTCTGGGTTAGTGAATAGCCCTGCCGGACAGTCTGAGGGAGAGTTAACCCTTTAATATCCGAGGTGGAGACTCTCGGTTCCAGTCACAGTCTGGGTTAGTGAATAGCCCTGCCGGACAGTCTGAGGGAGAGTTAACCCTTTAATATCCGACGTGGAGACTCTCGGTTCCAGTCACAGTCTGGGTTAGTGAATAGCCCTGCCGGACAGTCTGAGGGAGAGTTAACCCTTTAATATCCGAGGTGGAGACTCTGGGTTCCAGTCACAGTCTGAGTTAGTGAATAGCCCTGCCGGACAGTCTGAGGGAGAGTTAACCCTTTAATATCCGAGGTGGAGACTCTCGGTTCCAGTCACAGTCTGGGTTAGTGAATAACCCTGCCGGACAGTCTGAGGGAGAGTTAACCCTTTAATATCCGAGGTGGAGACTCTCAGTTCCAGTCACAGTCTGGGTTAGTGAATAGCCCTGCCAGACAGTCTGAGGGAGAGTTAACCCTTTAATATCCGAGGTGGAGACTCTCGGTTCCAGTCACAGTCTGGGTTAGTGAATAGCCCTGCCGGACAGTCTGAGGAGAGTTAACCCTTTAATATCCGAGGTGGAGACTCTGGGTTCCAGTCACAGTCTGGGTTAGTGAATAGCCCTGCTGGACAGTCTGAGGGAGAGTTAACCCTTTAATATCCGAGGTGGAGACTCTCAGTTCCAGTCACAGTCTGGGTTAGTGAATAGCCCTGCCAGACAGTCTGAGGGAGAGTTAACCCTTTAATATCCGAGGTGGAGACTCTGGGTTCCAGTCACAGTCTGGGTTAGTGAATAGCCCTGCAGTCTGAGGAGGATTAACCGCGCCCCAATATCGAGGTGGAGACACTTTCGGTTCAGTCACAGTCTGGGTTGATGAACCAACCCTGCGGACAGTCTACGAGGGAGGGATTAACCTTTAATATCCGGTGGAGACTCTGGGTTCCAGTCACAGTCTGGGTTAGTGAATAGCCCTGCGGACAGTCTGAGGGAGGATTAACCCTTTAATATCGAGGTGGAAAACACTTCGGTTCCAGTCTGATCTGGGTTGATGAATAGCCCTGCCGGACAGTCTGAGGAGAGTTAACCCTTTAATATCCCAGTGGAACTCTCGGTTCAGTCACAGTCTGGGTTGAGTAGCCCTGCTGGACGTCTGAGGAGAGTTAACCCTTTAATATCGAGGGTGGAAGCTCTCGGTTTCAGTCTGATCTGGAGTTGATGAATAGCCCTGCCGGACAGTCTGAGGGAGAGTTAACCATTTAATATCCGAGGTGGAGACTCTGGGTTCCAGTCACAGTCTGGGTTAGTGAATAGCCCTGCCGGACAGTCTGAGGGGGAGTTAACCCTTTAATATCCGAGGTGGAGACTCTGGGTTCCAGTCACAGTCTGGGTTAGTGAATAGCCCTGCCGGACAGTCTGAGGGAGAGTTAACCCTTTAATATCCGAGGTGGAGACTCTCGGTTCCAGTCACAGTCTGGGTTAGTGAATAGCCCTGCCGGACAGTCTGAGGGAGAGTTAACCCTTTAATATCCGAGGTGGAGACACTCGGTTCCAGTCACAGTCTGGGTTAGTGAATAGCCCTGCTGGACAGTCTGAGGGAGAGTTAACCCTTTAATATCCGAGGTGGAGACACTCGGTTCCAGTCACAGTCTGGGTTAGTGAATAGCCCTGCTGGACAGTCTGAGGGGGAGTTAACCCTTTAATATCCGAGGTGGAGACTCTCGGTTCCAGTCACAGTCTGGGTTAGTGAATAGCCCTGCTGGACAGTCTGAGGGAGAGTTAACCCTTTAATATCCGAGGTGGAGACTCTGGGTTCCAGTCACAGTCTGGGTTAGTGAATAGCCCTGCCGGACAGTCTGAGGGAGAGTTAACCCTTTAATATCCGAGGTGGAGACACTCGGTTCCAGTCACAGTCTGGGTTAGTGAATAGCCCTGCCGGACAGTCTGAGGGAGAGTTAACCCTTTAATATCCGAGGTGGAGACTCTCGGTTCCAGTCACAGTCTGGGTTAGTGAATAGCCCTGCTGGACAGTCTGAGGGAGAGTTAACCCTTTAATATCCGAGGTGGAGACTCTCGGTTCCAGTCACAGTCTGGGTTAGTGAATAGCCCTGCTGGACAGTCTGAGGGAGAGTTAACCCTTTAATATCGAGGTGGAGACTCTCGGTTCAGTCACGGTGTCTGGGTGGTGAATAGCCCTGCTGTGGTTTGATCTGAGGAGGATTAACCCTTTAATATCCGGGTGGAGCTCTCGGTTCCAGTCCTGATCTGGGTTGAGTGAATATAGCCCTGCCGGACAGTCGAGGGAGAGTTAACTAATATCCGGTGGAGACTCGGTTCAGTCTGATCTGGGTTAGTGAATAGCCCTGCTGGACAGTCTGAGGGAGAGTTAACCCTTTAATATCCGAGGTGGAGACTCTGGGTTCCAGTCACAGTCTGGGTTTAGTGAATAGCCCTGCTGGACAGTCTGAGGGAGAGTTAACCCTTTAATATCCGAGGTGGAGACTCTCGGTTCCAGTCACAGTCTGGGTTAGTGAATAGCCCTGCCGGACAGTCTGAGGGAGAGTTAACCATTTAATATCCGAGGTGGAGACTCTGGGTTCCAGTCACAGTCTGGGTTAGTGAATAGCCCTGCCGGACAGTCTGAGGGAGAGTTAACCCTTTAATATCCGAGGTGGAGACTCTCGGTTCCAGTCACAGTGTGGGTTAGTGAATAGCCCTGCCGGACAGTCTGAGGGAGAGTTAACCCTTTAATATCCGAGGTGGAGACACTCGGTTCCAGTCACAGTCTGGGTTAGTGAATAGCCCTGCCGGACAGTCTGAGGGAGAGTTAACCCTTTAATATCCGAGGTGGAGACTCTCGGTTTAGTGAATAGCCGCGTTATCTCTCTTACCGGCCCCGGTATTCCGCTCTCCAGCCGGGAAGTATCGCTCCGGTTCCGGTCTGGGCGGAGGTCAGAGGTCGCCAGCTGTGCGCGCGCCGTTTCCGGTTTCTGTTCTGCGTCACTTCCGGTTGTGCTCCCGGGGACAATGGCTGCGCTCTGAGAATGGGCCGCTGTCCGTCCCGGCAGCCCTGAGGGGGAACCTCTCAGCACAGCACCGACCACACCAGCACAATGGCGACCACGGCGGAACTATTCGAGGTGAGTCCCGGGCTTAGAACTACC